CTTTCTTAGTCATTCTTATCAGCTTTTATATGAAACTTCTTTTTGCAGGTCCAATTGAAGACCAAAAAGATCAAACCACCTTTTCCATACTTTAAGTTAATTCTCACTAAAGTATCCTGTCATCAGAAAACCAGTCTAAGTCCCAAGGGTTTTCTATGATTTGGACCTTTCATTGGTTCCTCAGAGTATAACTACCACACCCTGGAGATGCAAATAGGACGTGAACTCCACCCTCAAACAACATGCAGCTGATTAAAAGGGACATATAAATAAGCCATAGCAAATATAATGTGCAATATATCACATAATAGAGGTAGATAGAATGGAGGCCCAAAGGAGGAAGTAGTCCATTTTCACAGAATAAAAAAAGGAAAGTTCTAGATAGCTTCATAGTAGCATTGACACAAAGGGTAGTATCTCAAAGGTAGATGAATATCTGTGGCTTTCAATGGTTGCTCAATTTATTTGTATGTTCAATCTACTTTTTTCAAAAGATGAATGATTTAAAAAAATGCATAGGATTCTATATCTAATTCACCTACTATTCCATACTATTTCATTTCCTATTCCTCACATTCTGTTTCTCCCAGCACTTATCTTGACCTCATTTTTTCCTAAGTAATCAGATTGTTTCACCATCAACATGAAAATTCTGTCCAAAATACTTATGATGAAACTCAGTGATGCCATACCTAGGTATATCTCTCTCATGAGGAGACATATACAAAAATGTTTATTCCGGCATTGTTTGTAAGAGAAAAAGAATGGAAACAATTTAAAGATCCATCAATAAGAGAATGGATAAATCATGGTCTTTTTATACAATAGAACACCATAAAGCAGTTTAAATAAACTAGAAGATGTGTATCAACACATGTCAAGTGAGAACTTGAGAAGAAAGTATAGAATGTATTCATTTAATACAGATGGAAAACATGCAAATTAACACTATGTGTTGTTTACGGATACATGTATAGTATAAGTATAAAAAATGCACAGAATTTAAAACTTGAAATTTAGGATAGGTTTTACCTCTGAGGATAGCAAGGAAGGAAAGAGATAGGTTGGTTACAGGGATTTTAACTACATGTGTAAGATTTTAACTTGGGAGGAAGGGAGAGAAGAGAAAGGAAGGGTTGTTGGCACCTCCATGAGACTCTTGAAACTCAGAGATGTCCTTTTAACTCCAAAAAAGGCCAAATAATAAATTGGACCTTGCCTGAAAGTATCTCCCAAGGTCAGAGGCTATGGCAGCCAAATCATTCCTGAGCCTCCACACTCTGATATATCAAGAATTCAACATAATATTCCAGGTAACAATTGACCTACCTGTCAAAGCCAATTGATTTTGTTTTGTATCAGCTATTCACAGGTTTAATCTTTATGTCAGGTTGTACCTATTCCCAATGGATGCCTGTGGATTCCCAAAATCCTCCAGGTCCTCCCTTCTATGACAAGTTCTTTCCCACTCTTGGGCTTCTGCACAGCTGGTTCTTGCCCAGAATGCCCTCTTCACAAGCCTAACTTGTCTGATATTAGGTCTCAGCTGAAGGTCTTCCTTGACCACCCTCCCTACAGTAGAGTGCCTCTTGGTTTCCCCATCTCTGACCTTTGTTTTCCTTCACAACATTCATTACAGACTGTACCAGTTTATCTTTCTGAAACCTTGTTTGGTTTAGGTTTAGTCTTGTCAGTCTCCCCATAAGAATTAGAATTCCTTGAGGGCAGGGGCCCTCACTGGATCACCAGCATGTCGCAAGCTGGAATTTAGGGGGTTGTCAATGAATATTGATTAAACGAGTGAATGGATCTCTGGCTTCCCTGATCCAGACCTAGCTCATTTATAAGATGCCAATTTGCTTTGGCCTCTCTACTTTGCTTTCTGTCCTAACCAGCCACCAACCTTCTCCTGCCCTGTATCCTGTTTCACCCTCACCCCTACCTGGCTCAGCCCTTCCAGCCTGCTCTCTCCCCTCAGGTTACACAATGAACAAAGTGTTTGTCTTGGAGCTGTTTCTCTTGCTGCCTCAGTGATCAGCTAAAGCTGTTAACCTCAGCTGCCCTTTGCTGCCTCTACTTGTAAAAAAACAAGAAGAAAAAAACCACACCAAAAAACAACAACAAAAAAAAGCCCAAACCACAGCTGCCTTGGGATCCTCATAGCTACTCTTGAGAACGGCTGGCTATAATGAGCAAATTTATAGAAGGCACACAAGTTGACAGGGAAGCTAATGCAATGGTGAGTCAATATCACAATGATCTTCACAGGCTGGCTGGTCAGTCACACCTCTGGAACATTATTTTCAACCTGGGTTCCCACCTTAAGGGCTCCCCCTTAAATATGGAAAACTTAAAGTACGTCCAGAAGAGGGTGATACGTTTGTGAATTGTTGGACTAGGAATGGGACTGAACACAGACTCTGGAGCCAGACGAAGTGTGAATCCTGGCTCTACCACTCACTGTGTGGTATTTGATAACCTAATTAAACTTGTGACTTGGTTTCCTGACCGGAAAATGGGTTAATAATAGTGCCTATCTCAGAGGGCATTGCGAGGGCTAAATGAGTTGATTGACACATGCAAAGCACGTTATATAGTACTAAATATATGTTAAGTGTCCGATGAGTGTCAGATAATATATGGAGAAGGATTAAGAAATCGGTACAGTATCTGATTCATTATTCTTCAAGTCTATGTAGAGCAGTGGTTCTCAACCTTGGCTGCACATTAGAATCACCTGGGAATCTTTTTAAAATCCTGATTTCTGTGCCTCATCCTCCGGAAATTCTGTTTCTTTGTTATGGGGTGAGGCCACCACATTCCCAGGCTGGCTGTTTGCAGGCTGGGAATCTGACTCCTTACCTCTCTGGCCTCTGAAAAGAAGAACTTCCCAAGAGGCAGAATCCCACCTTGAGCAGCTAACCATGCCCTGCATTGCTGTCCAATGGAATGTCCTCACCCTGGGCCGGCTCCATCCACCGGGAGGAGTAGAAGGAAGCAGCCATGGGAGGAGAAGAGAACTTCAGATTGCCTGGAGGCCCTCACGCCCAAGCAGCCAGAGAAAGGATGTGTTTGAGTCCCCACTGTGCCCCTGGAATCCAGCCAATTCAAAATGGCCCAGAATGTCTACCAATGAAAACCTAGTTTCCACCTTATGAAAGACTGTGAAACAAAAAAGTTGCTAATGGACTGAAAACATATGCCAAGGAAATGTGGGAGAGATAGATTCTTGTTTGAGTCTACTTTTGAGAGCAAAATATAGCTTATTTTGAGGGGTCACATTAAGAGAGTTTCTGGATGTAATGGGAATGCTGTGGAAAAAGGTAAGACCATTAGAAAGGAAAACAGGTTCATCAAGATGAAGGGAATATGTTGTCATGTACATATTTTTAAAGATCATTTTCTGCCCAGCCTGCATGGCTCAGTGGTTGAGCACTGACCTATGAAGCAGGAGGTCATGGTTTGATTCCAGGTCAGGGCATATGCCCAGGTTGTGGGCTGGATCCCCAGTAGGGGAGTATGCAGGAGGCAGCCAATCAATGATTCTCTCTCATCATCGATGTTTCTTTTTCTCTCTCTCCCTCTCCCTTCCTTTCTGAAATTAATAATATATATATATATTTTTTTTAAAAAAGATCATTTTCTGTGCAATTGGTTTCCTAACTAGAGTATAAGATACTATGTGGCAGGGGCCATAACTTTTTCTTTCAGTGTCCCCAAATAGAATCTAATAAACCGCAGTGCATGCACAGTGCTCCATAAAGGCATTGCAGGATTTGCTAATCTCACCAGGACTTAAACCAAGTCCTTTGACAGCAGATGATTAATAGCATTAATATGAAGAAAGTGTATGGCACTAAGAGACCAGAATCTGCCACAATCCTCGTCTTTCTCTATTGACCAGGCATGTAACAGGAAGGCAGCAAGCGAGAATTGTTAGGGAAAAGTGTAAACAGATAAGGATCGAACTCTAATTTGCTTTGTGGGTCCTGCTCTTAAGTTATTTAGCCTTTACTAGGGTTTTAATTTCCTCGTCTGAAATGAAGACAGTAGTTATCAAAGCAAATGACATGATGGGGATGGGCATCCAAGAGACAACAGGGCAGAGATACATTTCTGTTGTATTTCCTGGAGACCCCTAGTCTCATATTGGCAGTCACAGGCTTCCCAGGTTGTCCCACATAAGGAATTTATCCTTAATTACCTACTTCATTTTCTTCATTTGAAAATGAAAAAAAAAAAAAAAAATGAAGGTGGTCCATGAGGCCTGGTTGAATATTTGGAAAAGATTCTGAATCCATCAAGGTTCACAGTCAAATCACCCTCCATTACAACTCTTAACCAGCATTTAAATATAGATGGAATTACATAGAACTTCAGGCGTGGAGGGATTGTGAGGAGCCAAATCCTGGCTTTAGGATGTGAAGGGATTAGTAGAGGGGGTGAGATTTGGAACCAGCCTGGAGTGGCTGTCCAAATGTATGTATGACATCCAAGCAGCAAAGATCCCTCTTTGCCAGGCAAGGGAATGGATAGGTAGCAGGGAAAAGAATGGAATAAGAGCTGCCTGATTCACTATACCCTAGAGAGGTGGTTCTCAACCTTCCTCATGCCGTGACCCTTCAATACAGTTCCTCATGTTGTGGTGACCCCCAACCATAAAATTATTTTCGTTGCTACTTCATAACTGTAATTTTGCTACTGTTATGAATCATAACGTAAATATCTGATATGCAGGATGTATTTTCATTGTTACAAATTGAACATAATTAAAGCATAGTGATTAATCACAAAAGCAATATGTAATTATATATGTGTTTTCCGATGGTCTTAGGCGACCCCTGTGAAAGGGTCGTTCGACCCTCAAAGGGATCGCGACCCACAGGTTGAGAACCGCTGCCCTAGAGAGACCCACACACAGTCACCAAATGTTTTAGTCCATTCTACAACAGAATACCATAGATGGGGTGGATTACAAACAACAGAAATCTATTTCTCACAGTTCTGACGGTTGGGAAGTCCAAGATCAAGGTGGCAGCACATTCCATGCCTGTTGAGAGCCCACTACCTGGTTCATAGATGGCAGTCTTCTTGCTGTGTCTTCACATGGCAAAGGGGCAAGAGAGCTCTCTGGAGTCTCCTATAAGGGCTCCTTGATGATGTAGTCATGACAGTTCCACCCTCATGACCTAATCACCTTCCAAAGGCCCCACCTCTAAAGACTAGCACACTGGGAATTAGGTTTCAACATATGAATTTGGGGGACACAAACATTCAGTCTATTGCATCATACTTGAAAGAGTAAAAGAGGTTCATTTTCTTGCAAGACTCCTCATTACTAAACCAAGGGTCAAGAACAAAAAGTAAATACAGTACTTATTGTTTCAAGACTACATTGTGGCTGAATGTTGGCTGAAATTCAGGCTGCTGTTTCAGTGTCAGAATGGTAGCAAGAAAATGTGGTGCCAAATGTGAAAGCTTATTATATCAGAAGTGGGGAAGGAAGCAAAGAATTCATAGGCATATATGTAACATATATGCCCCCAAATCTTCAGTTATCTCAAGATGAATATGTTCACTGAAAGCAGTGGTTTATGTGGGCTACACCATATTTGGGGGCTATGTTAAGTAACAGAGTGAAGAGGAAGAGAAAGGAAATAGAATCTTAACAAGAAGGAAATGAGCCAAGCAAAGGGAAAGAATCTCTAGAATACCTCTGAAGTAAATCTATGTAGAAATCTTAAAGCCACCCAGCCAGAGTGACTCAGTGGTTGAGCATCAACCTATGAACCAGAAGGTCACGGTTCAATTCCTGGTCAGGGCACATACCCAGGTTGCAGGCTCCATCCCCAGCGTGGGACTTGGAAGTATTCCTTAAGAAGGTTGCAGCCGATCAATGATTCTCTCTCACCATTGATGTTTCTATTTCTCTCTCCCTCTCCTTTCCTCTCTGAAGTCAATAAAAATACACTAAAAAGAAAAAAAGAAAAGAAACCTTAAAGTCCCTTAACCCTTTGGGTAGGAGAACTATTAATCTAGGCCCTACTTGGTTTATCATTTACATTTCTGAACCATGCGTTGTTGTATTTTATGTTTTAACTAGTGGGCCGGTGCACGAAATTCATGCATGGAAGGGGGTTCCCTCAACCCAGGCTGCATGCCTAAACCAGCAGTTGAACATCCCTCTCTCAATCTGGGACTGCTGGCTCCTAACCGCTCATCTGCCTGCCTGCCTGATTGCCCCTAACCTCTCTGCCTGCTTGCCTGATAGCCCCTAACTGCCCTCCCCTGCCGGCCTGATTTCTCCCCCAACTGCTCTCCCCTGCCAGCCTGATCTCGCCCCCAACTGCCTCTGCCTGCTTGATCACCCCTAACTGCCCTCCCCTGCCAGCCTGATCTCGCCCCCAACTGCCCTCCCCTGCGGGCCTGGTTGCCCCCAACTGCCCTCCCATGCCAACCTGATCTCACCCCCAACTGCCCTCCCCTGCCAGCCTGATCTCACCCTCAACTGCCCTCCACTGCCAGCCTGGTTGCCCCCAACTGCCCTCCACTGCCAGCCTGATCTCACCCCCAACTGCCCTCCCCTGCTGGCCTGATCTTGCCCCCAACTGCCCTCCCCTGCCGGCCCGGTTGCCCCCAACTACCCTCCCCTGCTGGCCTGATCTCGCCCCCAATGGCCCTCCCCTGCCAGCCTGATCTTGCCCCCAACTGCCCTCCCCTGCCAGCCTGATCTTGCCCCCAACTGCCCTCCCCTGCCTGCCTGATCTTGCCCCCAATTGCCCTCCCCTGCCAGCCTGATCTCACCTCCAACAGCCCTCCCCTGCCAGCCTGATCTTGCCCCCAACTGTCCTCCCCTGCCAGCCTGATCTTCCCCCAATTGCCCTCCCCTGTTGGCCTGATCTCGCCCCCAACTGCCCTCCTCTGCTGGCCAATTTGGTTCTGAGTTGTCAGTTTCTATGCCAGTCAGTGTCTCTGGGCCTATCAACGGGGCCTGAATAGAAAGACGGGGCTGATCAGCAGCCCCAGTGAAGGTCTGGAGAGAAATGGAGGCCCGGCTGCTGGCCCAGCCAGGAGAAAAAGAGAGAGACAAGTGCTGATCAAAAGCTGCCATACAGGCTATGGATCAGACCCTGCTTCTCTCTTCAGGCCTCTCTCCAGGCCTGATTCGCAGCCCCCTCAGCAGTCAGTGCTGGGTCGCCACAGCAACCCAGCGATGACTGCAGGACTGACTTCCGGTTGATCGAGCCTCCAGTTGTGAGGGACCCTGGGTTTTTTATATATTAGGGCAGTATTATTGAAACATCAACTTATTGAAAAACAAATTTCAATGGAACAAGATAAAGATCACATAAAATCAAATACAACAATAAGGTACAGATTAATTTCTAATGCAAATGTTTCCAGCCCCAAATGAAGATTATTAATTGCCTTAAAGATGTTATTCAGATAAAGAAAGTTGAGCCCAAAGATGTAACTCACTTTATTGGTAGGGGTTCTTGAGGTGGCTTGTGGGAATAAAATCAAACAAATTTTCCATCTATAGCAAGGGTAATTTACATTTATTGGGTTCTATTTACCAGGCATTGTTCTTGTCCTAACTTATGGCTTAATTCTGAACTCTTCATTTCAAAAATAATAGCAGTTTCTCTAACAAAATTCTATTCATTTTTCTCATGCTATAATTGCAGAAATTTTTTCACTCTTGAATTCCATTAATTTCCATGAATTATCATTAAATTCATAGATTAAACTTTGTTGAGACCTTCTTTATTAAAATGTTTGTCCATCTAATTCTGCCACTCTCATTACAGGATTGTTAATTCAAAGATATTTGTTCTTTTGTGTTTGTATTTCTGTTTACTCTTTTTCCCTCTAAAGTTAATCATTGGGGACTTTGCTTTTCCAACTTTAAAATGAGTTCCTGTACCAAATAAGCCTAATGTTAAGAAAACATTTCAGCACATATAATGAAAGTTATCTATTTGCAAAAAGAGACAATACACTAACTTCAAAGGCTTTGTTTTGTTTTTACATCCTATATAATAAAAGGGTGATATGCAAATAGACTGAACGGCAGAACAACCGAGCAACCAATCAAAACGTAATATGCTAATGATACACTAGGGATGCTTAACCGCTCACTATGACGTGCACTGACCACCAAGTGGCAGTCAACTGGTCGACCAGTCGCTATGACGTACACTGACCACCAGGAGGCAGATGTTCCGACTGGTAGGTTAGCTTGCTGCTGGAGTCTGGCTGATCAGGACCGAATGAGATGGGCTGGACATGCCCTGGAGCCCTCCCGTGGTCCCTCCCTGGCCCAATCGTGCACTGGTGGGGTCCCTCAGCCTGGCCTGCGCCCTCTCACAATCCGGGACCCCTTGGGGGATGTCAAAGAGCTGGTTTCAGCCCGATCCCGCAGGCCACTCCCCTTGGGAGGGCGCCAGACACAGGGCTCATGGCTGGTGAGTGCTGCTGTGGCAGCACGAGCCTCTCCCGATGGGTACTGATTGGGCATCAGCCCATGGCAGGCACAGTGGGGCCAGGATGAGCGGGAGAGACAGGTAGGAGTTGCAGGTGGCATTGGACTGCGAGTTTCGGCCTGATCCCTACAAGCCATCCGGAGGGACCCCACCTGTGCACAAATTCGTGCACCGGGCCTCTGGTATAAGCTATAAAATAATAAGAAGTACAATTCAGTCACATTTCCTCACTGAGGATCAATTCTTTTGGAGTGTTACAATTACTGAAATCAAACCATTTACTTTTTAGTGACACCAAATTCTCTAATAAATAAGCTTCTGTTGAGTGTTACATTTTCAAACTAAGAATAGTGTTTCAGATTTTTCATATACCCATTCAAATTTGTCATGTGATGCTGGAAGCCCTATGTATTATATTACATGTTAATGAATCATTGCCACCAGCCAACAGGAAGTAAAAAATAGCCAAGAAATAATGTGATTTTTTTTCAGAGTTAACTGAATGCTAAATATTTTAAAATATAGCATTTCTTTCTTTAGAATAGATAAGAATTCCAACATATATAGGTGTGTATACTATATATACATAATATGTAGCATGTATTATAAATAGGCATTGCATGTAAATATACTATATGAATATACACATAATACTTAAATTCCATCCCAAATACCTTGTTTTTATTGTATGTGTTACAATAAAAAAAATTTGTAACTTAAAAATTTGAATTTTAAAAATCATAATAAATAATCTATATACATCATATCTAATCTGTATTTAGTATGAAGTTCTCCGCATTTTAGTATGACTTTTCTTACTACAGTTAAATTTTCTTTCCATTTTATCACATCACAAAAGCAACAACATTATTTCCTGCATACACCTCTGAAAGCTTCTCAGAACAAAAGACAAACTAAGAAACAAAAGAACAAAAGAGAAAAAGTAAATTGGTTTAAAAATCTACAACCCTTAAAATGAGCTCTTAAAAATGATATACTCTTTATAATCTTAGTAAATTACTATGTTGTAACTGATCCTTCTCATTGTGTTTATTAACATTGAAATGTGTGACAGTTTAATTATTTCCAGTCCTGCAAGTTATTTGCAATAAAATTAAAAACTCATTTCTGTTTTGCTTTTTTTTGCTTTTTCAAATTAAGAAAATTTCATTATCCTTTTCTCTATCTCCTCTCATTCTGGTAGCATCTACAGACTCCTAACACTGGGCATGTGCTACCTCAGGCAAACACATCCCACATAAAATTCAAATAAAGGAAGGGACCTCCTGACCCTCTCTTCCTGTCTTACATTATTTTAAAAATATGACTCAGGGCTCAGTAGTTGGCATTTATTATGGCCACTAACATTTTTTTTTTTAATTTTCAAAGAAAGCATAAAACATTCAAGTTGATTATACTTAAACTACAGAGTCGTGCTATTTTAGGCAACAACTTAAAAGGTTACTTTTAAGGTGTGAAAGGTCACTTTACTTCCAAGGTTAAGTGACTTGCTCAACATCACACAGCTCAGGAAATAGAAGGCTTGCACCAGAACTCAGGCCCCATTCCCGAGTGGGTAATCCCGAATGTGTGCACTATAAAATGAATACAAATGATAGTATCATGATCTTTATTGAAGAGAAAATGAGACTCACACTCTAAAATACCACTCAGCTCCATAGGATTTCA